TGTACGACAAACGGTCCCCAACGCCAAAAAATTGCAGCATCAGTGCAGCAACATCTCAATCAGGACCACGGATCGTTCAGCGATTCTGACTTGTCCGTCCGTGGCCGGGACAAAAGAGGTCATCAAGACAGTGTTTGAGCTCGTGTCGCAGAAAGATGTCACAGATGTCACGCAAGTGACGGCAGAGCTCACTGATTCAAACGTTGAAGACGGTAGAGTGGAGCTCTCCCAGTCAGTGACTCTGCCCTCAAAGCGACTTTGGAGCAAAGTCTGAGAGACATTAGTGATGAAAGCGGAACCGGAAGGAGGTGAAGTGACCAAGCGACGTCTTGAAAACATTGTGAAATGGGGAGCTGCAAAATTTGGCGTACGCTGGTCGCGAGTTTTAAAATAGACAGACCTACCAGCAATGGCTTAAAACTGTCGCGCTAACTACGAGTAGCGTAGAAGAAGAGTGAGTGATGCGTGGCTGTGCTGGAATCCGTCTTAATGACGAGATAGTAAACGCACAGGTCGGCGCACAGTTTTATTCAGGGCAATTGGCCTAATGCTAATTAAATCGAAACGTTTCTTTCGCAAATTCAATCGTGTTTATTGCAAATGACATGGTGTAAGGATGGCTTTTGGTTGCCTCTTTGTTTATGGTAAGCTAAAAGACGCAAAATATGTCTGTAGGAAATTATTCTTACGATCTTTAGTGACAAGACCGGGATCCCGGGATCCCGGGATCCCGAAATAAAAATTTCTAGATCCCGGGATTGGCAAAACGTTCCGGGATTGCAATCTCTACGCACAGCTCACGGCGAGGCGAGTAGAGACGTAGCCGGCCGGCGGCAGTCACGACAGTCCTCTACGGCGGAAACGGCCACCAGTGTAACGCCACGCCCTGCATCTGGTTGCTGGACGATACTACGCTAGCTGACCTTTTGAAATAAGATTTTGTCTAAAAAAGGCCATATTCCTGTTTTGGACGAGCGTTATAAGTGAAAGAAGCAGAAGACGGCGGATTCGCCAGAACCTGCTTTTAATTCTGCATGTTATTTATACAGCACAGTTGCAATTCAAGGCCTTGGAGCACACAAAGGATCGTTTCCGGCAAAATCAAAACACTATGAACTTTATTATAATGATACCTATAGATTCTAAGAGAAACGTCAGGAGTCGGAGATGGAGGTTGAGTCGGAGTGGGAGTCACCCGAAAATCCATCGACTCCGCAGCCCTGGTCCTATCGAGCCAGTCAGGCCCGAGTGCACAGTGATGCAAATGGGGTTCACGAGTGGCCATAAATACGAAAAAGGCCTAAAATTCAAGTTCACTTAATCGAATAAATCGTAATATTGTCAGTCAGGCAATTGTTTGGGGTGTCTGAAAAAGTATGATTTCAATGTTTTTGTCAAAACCGGCCTCGTGTATGATTGTCAGAAGTCGAGACATTTTCGATGTCGTAAAATGACTGTCAGGTACCTGAAATTCAAGTGCCGCTAGCGTGCGTTCATGTCATACAAACTGCAAAAATTATACATGAAAATGATCCCCGAAACCTGCTGCTTCTAATGCCACGTCATAAAAAGCCGTATCTATTTTGGTTTGGCGGTGAGCTAACTATTTGTAATCATGTTGCATCCGCAGTTTTTTACCAAAAATATTTGCTTTCAATTCACCTACAGCACTTCACGCAGTGTGTGCCCGTTAGTGCACCATATCATAGCATTCCCTAATCATTTCTGAGTCGCATCGTGAAAGAATTAAGGCGCTAGCACAGGGCTGACCGGCGCTACAGAAGTTTTCGTCCGGCACGGTCGGGTGCCGCGGCGCAGCGGGCGGCCCGGGCGGCCGCGCCGCCGCGCCGCCCGGACGCCGCGCGGCGGCACCCACCCGCCCACTGCGCGCCCACTGAGGCACCCGACCGCCCGGACAAAAACCTCTGTAGCGTCGGTCAGCCCTGTGCTAGCGCCTTAATTCTTTCACGATGCGACTCAGAAATGATAAGGGAAGGCTATGGTATGGTGGACTAACGGGCACACACTGTGTTAAGTGCTGTAGGTGAAACGAAAGCATTTTTTTTTTCTTAGTAAAAAACTGCGATTGCAACATGATGATAAATAGTCAGATTACCGCCAAAGCGAATAAGATACGGCTTTTTGTGACCCGGCATTAGAAGCAGAAGGCGGTGGGGATCATTCCCATGCACAATTTTTTCAATTTGTACGAAATGAACGCAAACCAGCGGCGTTTGAACTTGCGAGTGTCTGACCGTCATTTTACGACCTAGAAAATGTCACGACTTCTGACGATTATACACGAGGCCGGTTTTGACAAAAACATGGAAACCATGTGATTTCAGATGCCCCAATTATTTGTCTACTCGGCCATATCGCAATTAACTCGATTTGGTAAACTTGACTTTTGGGTATTTATGGCCACTCGTGAACCCCATTTGCATCACTGTGGAGTGATAGCGGCAGCCGAACCGACGTCTCGCCACTCAGCATCACATGATACAGCGGGCGCCGTCCGTACGAGACTACTCATGGCGGCTGCAGGGCAGAGAAAATGAATCTAATTTAAAAACTACGACTATCGCGGTCTAAAGTAAACGTTTTGATCGATTGGCGTTAGAATGATTGAACATTTAGAAACCAGTAAAACGCCTTTTGGGCGAAGAACGAGCGAGCGAGATAGTGAGCCCTGCACGTGCGGAAGGGCGAGAGGGTGCTTCCAACGGGCTTGTGCAAAGCACCCTTCTAACCGGTCGCTAGCGGTGTGCCAAATTTGAACGCAATCGGCCCAGCCGTTCCTGAGATCTGGAAGCGGCATTCTGCACGTGCGCACGTGCAAACGGGGTCCAAAATGACTTTTGCACGGCACCCTACTAGCTGGTCCCCAACCGTGTACCAAATTTGAGCGCAATCGGCCCAGCCGTTCTCGAGATCTGGAAACGCCCCCTGCACGTGCGCACGTGCAGTAGCACCCTAACCGCAACACATGGGAATGCATTGCCTGGTGGGTGCCTACCTGTATGCCAAGTTTCAGCGAAATCGCCCCAGTAATTACCGAGTTACTGAAATGGGAACAAATTTGGCACCTCTTATTGTTGTATTTTGCACGTGCACTGGGGGTGACCCACATACATCGAGAGTATCCTATTTTGGGTAGAAGGGATGCTGCTACCCTACAAAAATTACCGCAAGTCAATCGCCCAAGCGGCTGCTGAGATATGAGCCTCTCAAAATCACTACTTTTGCAAAACAGCTTGAACACCCTTGACTTTTCACGTGGTGGCACGCCACCACGGTCACTGAGATGTATCAAAATTAGTCAATTACGGGGTAGAAGGGATGGGGCTACCCAACAAAAAAGACCGCAGGCCAATCGGTCCAGCGGTTGCTGAGATATAAGCCTCTCAAAAGCGTTACAGGCCGGGCCGGGCCGGGCCGGGCCGCTCATACTGAGATTTTTCCGTTATATTGAAAAGACTCACTTCGCTCGCTGCGCTCGCTCGCTCGTAACCAGGCGGGATCGAAACAACAAAGATCGTCGGCTGTTCGAATGGCAATGACGAGGCATTCGGGAACATGAATCGAGTAACGGTTTGGGTCTCGAATATCCACCATTCCGGTAGCTGATCGCCCTCACTGAAAACTGAGCCCATCCAGCCAAGGTCACAGGACTGGATTGAGTATCGGTCGCTCTAGCATTTAGTATGCTTATGCATATTGCATAACGGGTTACATAAAACAAATGCCAAACAATAGAATAATAGGTATCGTCTGAGTCTGTTGTATAACGTTGACTATCACACTCTATCCCAATCGGGCTTCTCGTAAAACACATGTAACGGAGACATCGATGTACCCCAAGGCCACATCTTATCGCTGAACAGCCATCAAACAATCGCCAGATAACATGTAAAAAGGCGCTCTGTCGAGAGGTCGATATCCGAACGGCGAATCACCGACACTCTTCTTATGAAAATTAAATGATTCAAACGGTGATGTAGGTACGATTGTTACAATTCATGCTTATAAACGAATGCCGCAGCTTTCTCGAATGCTCGAACACTGCCTTCAGATGAAGTTAAGTCATCACAAGTAAGAACTAAAGATATTGTCTGGAGTCTCCTGACGATTAAAAAAGTTTGAAGAGATATTTTGACAATAAAATGGTTTAATCGTTCATTACAATAAGCACATCTGATCGCCTCCCATTTAGTGACGATAAGTTTCAATGTGTGCAGTGGGCATCATAGTTACAGCCACATTGCGTCTTAACAGGACGATTTACGGCGAAACCCCAAAAATCCCGCTGTAACCTCCCATGACCACACCTCAATAACTAACGCTTCCCACCAAACCTTTACCACTAGCACACAGCCAGAGCCCGTTACTCAGGGCCAGCAAACGCCGCGGAGTAAACCAGCCAGTCCAATACCCACCATCGGCGGCAAACAATACGCCCCCTCCCCCCTCACCCGGCGCCGCTCCCCACTGGGTGTGTCCCGTGACTCCAGACTGCACTCTGCCCCTCGGCGACCGGTCAGGTCACAGTGACGGCGGAGACGACGCGACAGCCTGGTCCGTTCGATAGTGCCACAGACTAGTCCCGGGACGCGCCACAGGCACCTGATTGCTTCTTGTTCCGTGATTACAGCCGGCGCTCTATCATACTTGGTCGGCGACGGACCAAGGAAAACAGACGCGTGTCGACCACTTATCGGATGTGGCGGGGCTGCCTGGAGACTGACCCTGTGTCTCGACAGTCACTGGGTAGACATGGACTCCCCCCCCCCCTCCCACACACACACCTAAAAGGGTATCAGTATGAATTTGCAGAAAATGAAGATGTGTATGACATTAGCAATGATGAGCGGCCCACAAATGGCTCAGTGCTTGGTGCGGCATGCTGGACTGAGGGTTTGGATACCCCCTTTCCTCCCCTAGAAAAGAACTAACAGCTCCTTGACATGGGCGAGACTGCAGCAGGCGCTGCCCGGACTTACTATTGAGACGAACAGTATGACGGGTGTGTAGATGTCGACTGATCGTATAGAGTCCGGGTCGCTGGAGTGTTGTGTGACGGCGTAGATGAGACCGCCCAGCTGCAAAATCAGCAGCACAGACGCGAACAGCTGCCGAAAGAAGACGCGGTCAGGTCAGCTGGGGTCACAGGTCATCTTGGGGTCAAAGATCAGTTATCTAGGGGCTACAGGTCAGCTAAGAGCCATGGGTCAGCTGGGGGTCAAATGTCAGCTAGGGTCAAATGTTAGCTGGTGTCAACTCATAGGGTCAGCTAAGGTCACGAGTCAGCAGGACTGCAGGTCAATCGGCGTCACAGGTCTCATATCAGTCTTGGTTACGAGCCAACTAGGATCGCGGGATAGTCACGGTCACTGTCACAGGCCAACCAGTGTCACTACAGCCACATGCCCCAAAAGATCAAAAGTCACAGAGTAATTTGGGGTCAGGGGTTTTCGGGGGTAAGTCAATGTCACAATTCACATGTCAGTGTCCAAGGTTTGGTCATATCACATACGGTCTCGAATGGCACATGTCAAAAATAGTCTGTCCCTGCTAACACCGCCCAAGCAGCACCGCCCACTGCAACCATCGACCCGACCAGCACAATGGGATGACGCTTACACACATTATGCAGTCTGACTCGGCCCCGCCCGTGCCGGCCTGCACCGTTCGGCGACTGTTGACAAAGCCAACAGCCCCGGGCGGTCCACACTTCTGGCCACGACGGCCACCCAGCGCGACGGCGTGACAAGACCTTTCCATTGTTACCTGTCCTGAACTCACACTGACTGAGACAGCTAGCATGCAGTCCGGAATGACATGGCCCAGGGTAGACGCATGTTATTCACTTTAAAATTTCCCATTTGCTGAAATGATATAAGCTCGTGTGCATAAAATATTTCCTAGGTCCTGTGCATAACATATCTCAGCTGGTTTCGCCTTTTCCAGCACAGCGAGCATGTTCCTGATCCGGAAGACATGATTGATTTGTAAGCAACAAAATCTTATCAGGAGGGCCCAAGTGGTTGGTATCGAAATGTACAGGTTGTGCAGTTGAGAGGCGCTCCAGAGTTGACCTACGTATACCGTATCCTCGAATCCGATTCCTGTTTTGACGTTTGACACCACCAACTAGCTTCCCACCGGCGACAACAGGAATTAGTTCTTATTTTGACCTACGTCAGCTCGTATCTCGTCCAGCTCCACCTTTTGCCCCGCTCAGTGACACCGGCTCCCCCTTTGGCTCACTCTTGAGTCCCGTGACATCACACAGTCCGGCGACCCCCTTCCCCTCCCCCTGAGCGCAGCCGGATGTACCGGCCGCTTCCGCCCGGGTCACGGGGTGGGTGGTTTGGATCTCCGACAGATCCGAGTAGACGTCCCACGCTCGTCCGCAACACACAGAGGGTCTCAGTACTGCGGGACTACGTCCGTTTGTAGATGAATGAGCCGGATCACCGAATCCGCGTTACAGGTACGTTTGATGCCGTTTTGCTTAATTAGCGGGAGTGGCAACTGGCAGCCAGGACATCCCCTGTATGCGTTGTGGAGAAGCGTCTGACAACCGTTTACCGGTCACTGACATCTGACATTCCACCGTTCGTCAGACCATACTCGGCCATGCAGACCACATCGGTATTCCACTATACCGTGGATTGACCAGCACTGAGCCGCTGTGAACCCAAGTTCACCAAACCAGCGCTGAGCTGCGGCATACCACTATCAGCAGTCTCATCCCTGGCTGACGACAGCAAAGCGCCTTACGATAGACATGGGCGACTCGTGCCGAGAATAGAACCAAAGCCTCAGACCAGGCCAGCTGGAGGAAGCTTACGGCGGGCGTGGACCCACCAGCTGTGAGGGAGCCCCCACTACAAGCTGGGTGTGGCGACCAGAGTCGGAGACAATCGCAGCTCTGAGGGGAGCCAGAAGAAGCGCCCGAATGTAGCGCCCCGTAATGGCTACATGTGTCTCATTCGGCACGGTGACAGGCGGGAACGTGCGTTCGGCATCGTCACTTCGAGCGAGACTCATGTCACATCAGCGCCCGCACAGATTGTGCCGGTCGCTGATACCGCTATCATGTGGGCCACAGGGCCCAGAGACCGATCCCAGATCGGCCAGATATGGGTCAGATCCCCCCACACACCTCCCCCCCCCCCCCCGGAGGATGACCCGGCGGCCGGCGAATCATGACCAACGGGCAGATCGGAAAGGCGCAGAGCCTACCACTCATAATGAAATCACATGCTACTGAGGGGGTGACGAGACCACTACGATAGCATTTCCTGAAAGTCCGGTCACGTGTTCGAGCATGTCTTATCAAGAGTTGTGAAGGACGGAACCTGGTGTCACGGGGTAGATGACGATACCCGTGGGGAGGGGTGCTAGGGAGCACGATGTACGAAGTCACAACGTCTCAACGAGACATCACGATGGAACACTGTGACATTGGATCTCCCTGGTTGCATAAGGAAAGGGCATCATATGGAGGGCTGGGTGAGCAACAGCACATTCTACACTCCAAGCCACAACAGAGTCATGAGGTCGATTCGACCTGGTCGAATACCACTTACAAGCGGCAACCCATGTCGAAAGAAACGACAGCCTGCGGTTGGCTGACAAGTTGGCTCTAACTGCCGGTGGAAACCTTGAGCGGGCGAGTCGCTGTTTGCTTTTCGTGCCGGACGCGGCGGCATCGCGTTTGGAGTGGGACGGGCGGAATGGAGAGTCATCCCTCCTCCGCCGGGAGAGACGAGGGTACTCGCGAGTCGCGAGTCAAGGACGGCCAGCGCGTGTTCCAGGGAAATCCGTGGCACCGGCACACGCCAGTGCCTGGAGTAGGTAATGGTGAAAAGAACAGCCGAGTGCGGACCGAGGCATGATCATCTTCTTGGCTGATAATCGGAACGGACAGAGCGCTCTCAGAAATGATGCCTAAGTCGTAGACGAAGCAACGCTAATCTGGAAGGAAAAGCCAGCAATGTGCACATACGGCGTTAAAAGTGAGTGAGGTCGAATAATCCAGTTCTCATGGGCTTGAGTTCGTACTATAGCTACACCCAGACCGGTACTGATGCATTCACTTGCATATTCCTATTACATAACGAAATAAAACCACGAACCGGCTGAGAACATGGCTTCTTCCGAAACACTGCACAGTGCACAATGCACACCTTAGGCTTAGAGCAAGCATTAGTAACGCCAGCAAGTCACATCCATCCTTCTCTGGAACTACATTATGGCACCGCGGACAAGAAATGGCAAACCACACCCCTCCGACCGAGTTACATGATACTCTGCCACGCGAGGCTGCATGAAGCCATCCACCTTCTCGCTGCACCCGCGGTCGCCGGCAGCTTTGCCTCGTTCCATTGTGTAACTCGATAGGGGAGGTCGGCGGGCACCGGTGCCGGTCGGTGGGGAGTGGGGACGGTTGGGGGAGAGGGGAGGGGAGGGGTCAGACCGCGCCGGGCGGCAGGCGGCGGCGGCTCGGCGCCGTGCCACGCCGCCGCCGGTACGCACAGAAAGTGCACGTCATCATGATGACGCCTCGGTGACGTCACGGCAGCCGGCACCATCGGGCGGTCCGACTAGAGTCAACGTGACCGGACAGGAAAGAAGGAACGTTTGTGAAGGCGCGTAGGACGGACGGTGATTGTTCAGCGGGGTTCTCGTAATAGGCACTACAGGCCTCTGCAGTGGATTTCCACACAAACGATGCGCAGGACTAGCGGTCCAACAGTCAGTTAAAGGGACCCTCCCACCTTCAAAAAAGTTAATGAATTGGCATGAAAGTGATGTCGCTCGGTTCAGAAAGAGCAAAAACGAATATCTACCAAATTTCATCGAAAAATATTCACCGGTTTTCAAGATATTACTTTTACTTTTGTTTACTTTTTGGGATCTCCGCTGCTCCTAACGACTTTATTTGAAAGTGCGGCATTTGTTGCGCGCAAAGCAGCATATACCACCGCGTGCTACAAAACGTTTTAGTCAAACATTTAACGGACGTTCGAAAGCCTGATGACGTCATCAGATTCCCGTAATGGTTAAGAGATAGGGACTAAGCTGGTCCCACCCTGCAAGTAAAGGGAAGAAATTTCTTGAACACCATAAAGCTGCGGGGGTTGCGACCAGGATAAATGGTGGTTTCTGAGCCTGGCCGCAAACTTGGCTATCTCAACTCAAAACTAATGTTAAGGTGGGATGGTCCCTTTAATGCGCGGACAACCACTGAGACAGCGACCAGTGTCGTACACAAACATTCCATCTGGTTTGCTCGCGTGATTCACGCTCGCCGCCTTCAGATTTTCTTCCCGAAAAACTATGCAGTTGAAATGAAAAATGCATACCGTGCAGCCACGAAACGATCATACATTCACTACGAGACCCATGCGAAAGAGATGGCTCTAGCTTAATAAGACCTTGACGCGGTACTGAGCAGTTCAGCCAAGCCACACCAGATATGAAAAATAAGACATCCCGTATAGGACATATCCAAATGTATACATGCAATGGGCGAAGATCGCATTATTTTCCAGAAACTCCCATTACCTGACGTGCAGGCGAAAAACTGACAGTGCAAGGTTCAATGAATACAGAGCTGTCAGGATAATTTGTTTTCCTATCTTTGTACCAGTCTGCCACCATCGCTATAACCTTCTGAGAAGCCAATACACATGTCCCAAGCTGTGTATAGCAACCATTCGACCAGCATCGGTCCATTAGGCGGACCGATCAATACCCTGTGGCCATGAAGCAGTCCAGCGGCCTCACTCGGCCGGCCGAGCGGCTGACCTGACCCGTGACGTCACACAAACAGCGGCGTCATCGACCAGCGGTGACGTCACCAGACGGCGGCGTCGGCGGCGGCCAACTCTTCCACCGATGGGTGTGGGGGTAGGGTGGGGTATCCGTCCGGCCGGCCGGCCGTCCCACTCCGGCAGAGCTGTGCAATGTGCATCAAATGTGTGCCAACAGCGTCACTGGTCAGCAATACGAGTCTCCGAACGAACCCTGCACGGTACTCTGTAATCCAGTAGCCGGCAGATCGCGTATCCGGTGCCGATCTCGGAAACCGAGCCGGACGGCTGACCGTAGTAATTTCAGTCAGGCGTCAATACGGAGACCCAGTCGGAAAGGTGCGCGTTCCAGCACCTGTCCCATCGCGATCCAGACATTCCAGGCCTTCCGGCAGCCGCTGCACCCAGCCACCGCTGGGTTACGTCCAATCCAATCAACCATTGCGACATATGTCCCTTCCGACTCCGGGCAGAGCCAATATGACGTGACAACGAATGCAATCGAGCGGGACACGCCGGCGCTGCTCCAACAGGCGTGAGCACGGTAATGGCGCATTACACAGGTGTCGACAGCCGGAGCCGGAAAGGTTATATGGTACGCTAGTTTTTCTGGTCATCCAGAGATTGTGTCGATTGAACCGCTCATCCTTCGAATCATGTGCAACGGGGCAGCGCAGGGTGCACAGGTGCTCCCGTTGCGAGTAGCCAAGCCTCTGACGCAGTGTCCAGGCCACTTCGGGCGCAAACTAAGGAGCGCGGTCGCTGCACTGCAGACGATCTGCAAGAGCGTGAGCAAATTGTTCACAAAATGCCTGACATGGCAACATATCTACTCTAAATGGCTGGTACTCCAGTAACCATGTCCCTCGGCGGCGAGTTTTCCGAGCCGTCCGGCGGACAGCAAGCACCACCACCTGTTCCGTTATATAACCACTGCGGCGACTGGCAGCACCAGCGAGCGGCCCGTCCACGTTCAGCACAGGCGACGGTGCTCGTCCAGGGGCGACGGCGGGGAGCCGGTCATGTAGGGTACACTGCACTGGGTACACCGTACCTTGGTGTGCTCGGGTACCCCGGAAACCATCCGGTGCTAAGGACAGGGTCTATAGCCAGGGGTATGGCTTTCTTTGCCGGGACAGAATTTCGTTACCAGGTGACAGGAATTCTGCCACTAGAATCAGGATGCCTTGCTGTCTTCACGGAGAGGATTATGTCACCACAGACAAAGTGCTGCCACCGGGAACATAGCATTGTCACCAGGGACAGAGCATCGTGACTGCAGGATCCCAATATCCAGCGGTTTCTCGGAACAGGGACGGGTCGCCCGCCGGAACCGTGGCATGGTGAACGTGATCGACCGACTCCGCCCCCAGCGCGTCCCTATGCGGCAACAGGTAGCCATAAACAACAAACGAGTGACGTCTGCCGCTGCAAACATTGCCGTGGCAGACATCGACCTCAAGCACCGGTCCCTGCATACACAGCGGTGAGCCAGATACTGCAGAGGGGCTGCGACGGCATTATTGGAAATGGCATGCGAAATACCACGGCTTATAATGCAGAAAACAAATCTGATCTGTCGTTCAAATCAATCACGACCACAAGGGAATGTGGTTTACTTCACTAAAATTCCATTGATTTTCAGTTCCACTGATTCAAAACGACTTTTGAAAACTAACTTATGCTGATGTAATTAAACGAATCAAGTAGTTAGTAGACTTTGCGTCAACCCCGTTCGAGAAACCACATCACCCTAAACATACCAACGGCAATACGCATGCAACTTCTGTTTCTTTACAGTTAACCTTACCTTTATACCTTAAATTGTATGCCTATGCATTGGAGTTTTTTTTTTTTAAATAAAATGTGGCGGAATGGAGCCCTGTAGCAGAATTGAAAAGTTGCATGCCTGAGTGATTTCAGAATTTTAAAGAACTAATGGAGAGCTATTTTTGACTGGCATAAGGCTATTATTTGAGACCGGTCTAAAATACAAACAATAATAAACCAAACATCTGCCGAAAAACCGCAATTCCCTATCATCGCAGTCACCTTGCAAGTTGCAAGTTGAAAGCTGCGACATTCACTGTTCCTAAATGCCAGCATCGAACTCGAGTAAATATTCCGTGGCCTTGCGAATGAGCGCCTGAGACGGTTCTGCTTTGAGCCTGCTGCGTGTGAAAAGTATCACCCCCAAACGAAAACAATAGAAGCAGCCAACCGACGCAAAACTAATGACCAGTATATGACTCAGAGATTTACTGGGCGGTAAAGCCTTGATGGCGCGGCCGGCCCCAGAGGAGAGGGAACAGATCCGACCGTGGTTGAACGTCGCCGACGGCCCAGCCGGCCTTGGCAGTAATGGCGCCCTATTCTTACTCCCTCCCAGCGCCAGCCTGGGGCGGCGCAGCTTCCATAAATCAGCCGGCGAGGACACCGGACCGTCGACGCCACGTGTGTGTGTGTTTGTGAGGGGGAGGCACTGTGTTTGTGCGTGCGTGCTTGCGTGTGAGCGTGAGTTTGTTCGTCAAGGCGTTCGTGCGAACGTGACACTCCATCGATGATCCCCGTGTGTGTACGGTAGCGTCATGCCCTGCAGCCAGATTGACCTCCATCAGCCCTGTAGCAGCTTGGCCGGCCTGTGCAGACGCGCCAGTGACCCTGAACCAACAGTTCGCCAAGGGCGGTGACCCGTGCGTCTCACCACACCACTCACGGAAACTACCGGGCCACCCGTCAGTCAATCCTGATCGGCCCCCACATGACACCGGTAAACAAACGGGCCACCCGGTCCGGTGGCCGGTCCGTGATGCCATTGGCGGCAGGGTGGCGTGACGTCATCAGTGGGGACTAAGAGAGGTCGAGGGAGAGGGCGACAATGTCAGCCTGGGGACGATGCGCAAGTCGGGAGTGGGACAGGTGAACAGCGTGACTGTATTGAGTGCACATATCCTTGAACTTGGGCGGTTTGCGTATCCGTCATCAAATGACATGACGCAACTGACGATGCAACTTAGCCATGTCCTACCCTACCAGCAAACAGCTCAATATACGAGCAATCCCAACATTGCATAATTGCAATGAATATGTAGTTAAGTGTAAACACGGTGCAAGACCCACGCCACCGAAATATCTGACCCCTAACCGAAATGTTTGAAATCAACTCCCATGAAACAGTACATCGGATACCAATTTCGACACCATCTGCCAGGGATGCCGACCGGCGCCTTGCAGAGCTAGTTGAGGGCGCTTCCCTGCTCGCTTCCCACACCTCTGACAGTGGCACACCGTGCGCAGCTGCAAGGGACAGTCCCGGCTCGCCGGAACGTATCGCAACGGCTAACGTTTGCTCACAACTTATCGGCCGCAGAGCAGCGATCATGACCTCATGGAAGACTTCCATGTGCTCCTGATCAGCAAAGACAGCTGGCAACAAACGGCTAATATTCGTCGTCTGTGTAGGATTATTTATCTAGACCAACGGCCAACTCTGATCTACGTTGATGACTGTTTGATTTACGATGAATGAATACTGAAAGCAGCCTATTCTCTAAGTAAAAACACTAACCGTGAAATGTCATCTGCAGATTTCTACCGAGCACACAGAGGGAAATGAGTTCTGGGGCATCCCATGAAGTGCACGCCACGTAGGAGCACTCCCAAGGACATGAGGGTGGCATTTCGATGGCCGTAAGTAGAGATGCCCAGCAGTCGTCATCCTGTCTCTCATCCAAAGAGACTGGAGGACTGAGACGTTTATTAGTGAATTGTTACAGCAATCTACCCGTGACATCGATAGGTGGTGAATTTCATCCCGAATGTCATAAACATATAGGTGGAAGAAATTTAACAAAAAGAACACCTGAAGTAGCGTTACCTGATAATATCGAACAGGGAAAAACGAAAAGGAAAGCAATTAGAATTACGTGTACTAAGCCCCGTTTTGACAAATCATTTGGACGGCGTAATTCGTCTTTGGGATTCGTGCCGGGTCGGTGGCACGATCTCCCGCATCCCCAAACAAACATACATAACTGCTAATGGAAGGGAACGTTTGTTGAATACTCGGGCAATATCAACAGCGCGCTGTCTTTTCCTTCAGGAGCTCCGTACTATTTTATCGATAAATGACAAAATTTGGACAACTGCAATCCAGTGCCTTATCTAATCTCATCTCGTAATTCTTCAAATAGGACGTTACCGATAAAAAGAAAGTGCAAAAATAACATTTCACGCCATTCCATGGCAATGAGTATAACAAGCACATAACTCCGTGCAATGAGCCAGTTGCGCTGAGCTATACGATTGACGTTTGGTCTGTAGATGCTTGTATAAGCTCTTGTTATGTAGTTTCTAGAATTGGTCAATGGTCATGAAACCAGCTAATGGTTGTCATCCCATTCTCACATCCCTCAGACATCCCTATGCTCACTTTGTCATGTCAGTCCATACAGGGCGACAGCAACACCCACTCACCCAGACAAGCAAAGTAGATCATTCTTCTCTGGCAGCCACAAACCCATGACTTTTAATTCCACCCTGTAATGGAACACTCACGTATTTGCAGATGTTGAGGACGGTCCAGGGTATGAAGCGGTCGTTGGATCGGAGCACCATGAGAGTCTCCACTGGCGAGAAGAGCCAGAGGAAGCCACACGGCACCCATACCAGCACAGTGCGCTCGAAACAGGGAGTGAAGTCGGGAACGTCGGCGTCCCATGTCAGGCTTGTGTTCTGTGAACAGGGAAGACAGATTGTCAACAATACATTCGTCACTTAACCAGGCACTTACTTGCAGTCGAGTGGTCTACATTTGTTTCTGAGACTGCTGTGGAAAGATGACTTAATTCACTAATTTTGGACTGGGATCCTGTAGGTACACAATCCATGCATTAGTCTATGTTCTGACAAACATACTCATATGCCATTGTGGATGCACCATCAAATTTCCTTCTTTGAAAATACCATTTGACATTTAGCCTACATTAGGACACAATAGGTACAAGGTAGGTTTCTGTTCCCATCTTGAAGCTGAGGGCCCACAAACTTAGCATGCGAAGGTTTCTAAAAGCAAACTTACCCAGAACTCAGAGTGGCAATAGCCTCCTAGGCCACTCATTTTGAGTGGTTACTGGGAGACAGCTTTTAACTCCTGAGGCCGTATGGGTCTGCCCTGAAACAAAATAAAAAAATGCTTTAAAGTTGGTATATTTCAATGTCAGGTGAGTTGCTACACTGCATACCTACCTGAAAACAGTATTTGTTCAGAAAAGGTCTGATCTACAGTTATAGTGCCATTCATATGAATACGCAACAGCATAAATTGTAGGTTTGTAGGTTGTAGGTTGGTAGGTTTAAAGGTTGTAGGTTTGTGGGTTGTAAGTTGGTGGGTTGTAGGTAAGTAGGTAAGGTTAGGTAAGGTTTGGTTATGTTTTTCTTGTATTTGCACCACTTGTTAGTATCATGTTTGGACTCAGGATGTCAAATTATGTAAGAATACGCAAAATTTATGTTTTAAAAGTGAATCAGACTTTTTCTGAACATTTACCCCTGAAAACTAGGATGTTGTGTTTAAAAAAGGCATCAAAACACAAACATACACATCAATGTTTGGGAGGGAAGTTTGCACATTGAAATCATTATCCTTATCATTTCATCATTTCCTGACTTCAATTGGCATTCCTGGCTTCTTATGAATGACAAATTAAAAATGATTTGAGGTAAAATACAAGAGGCACTAGAAGTCTTGAAGTCTTGAATATATATGGAAGAAGGCGAACTGCCTGTAGCTTCCAATTTCCATTACTCGATACTGATGAGTGGGCACCTATATGGCAGAGCTGGGTCAGGGTGAGGATGATCTTGGAATAGGTAATTCAAGGTTATTAGGCTAAAGGCACTAAGGCTGGAATTACATTGCAAATATTTTATATCGACTCTCATTATAGAAGCAATGTGGTAGCAGCTTCAACAATTTAAAGGGCAATAACAAAATGAAAACAATCAACAATAATGTTTTAGGTATTTCAATTTCAAACCCAAGACCGCTGCCATTCTTGTTCCCCCATTATAAGCCGGGACAAAGATGAAGCACATTACACAACTATAACAATTAAGCATCGGACTTAGAGTGCAGTGAGCAAGAGAACAAACAATCTAACGCCTTACTTCAAATCAACAGCACCGGTGAAAGACAGCACCTCACCGGAGCGACCCACCCGACACGCACGCCCCGCCGCCGAACACACTCGACTGCCGCCAGATGTCGCTCGGTCGCCAGGTAGACACCTTCGATGCCTTCGATTACCGGGGTTACATGAGCAAGTAAATGCGTATCAGGAACGGATTTTCCTATTCGCTCACTATTGTAGTCCGTTTGTAATGCGTATTAACTCTGCTCATGTAACCCCGAGCGATGAGTAACGAGAGATGTTGTTTTCAGCTGATTCAAAATATTATTGCAAAGAGTAGAAAATACTTGATCAAAATTTTGTGTCTTTCATTAATTATTTGTAAAAGAAAAATGTTTTGAGAGACAAAAATGATTATGCAATATCAGAGTTATGTAGTGTATTATGTTCCTGGGCAAGAAAAATGAGTGTCATTTGCAAATATTGAAAATAACTATCTAAGGCATACTCACGGACGTATAAATAAACTGGACCCGCAACCACCTCCATTCAGGTGAAGCCGACAAGGCGCCATTTTACGTTGCCAAAAAACCGTGCTCTGGAAGGTCATCGAGCCAATACAATTAGAATTGCGTCCAAACGGATGATCGGATCGAGATGCTGGTGGTACCGTTCGACGGGTAATTCCTTGAGGCAGGTGATGATGGATGTCACATGTCACCCGGTGTCACATCGCGCGTGCCACGTGCCGACAAACTTACAAAGGGCAAAAACCTTTAAGCGACGCTTCAAGTCAAACGAAGGGCGGCACAGGTGCCAAACTCACAGGTCACATGTCCCAGTGTTCGACCACTAACATATGGTATGTTCGGCATCAGGGGGTGCGGAATGCACGCGCTAGTGGCGAAAAACATGTTTTGAGGAGGCATCCTCCGATTCCGGAAAACCTTGACCTAGGCACACCAAATTTGGCACACTGACACTACTGGACACGCGCTTTAAGGTGCTGTACAAATAGGCGTGCTGGGGTACACGGTGCACGTGCTGTGCACGTGCAAACCTTTTGATGTTGCACTCCAGGTGTCACATATGCGGGTAGGGCGGGTAGCGCTGGCAAGCTCAAAGTGCCAAATTTACACAGGCCACCCAGAATGCATTCCCGCATAGTTATTGAGCATATCCATCTCCTGGTGGCCTCTGCACGTGCAAAAAATTATCCACGCTGGGCGGTGGGGATGCTTGGACACCCTATGTGGATTTATGTAAATATCTCGAAAACGGCGTTGTGTAGCGCTGCCGTTTTGGCACACCTTTTCATACATCTTTTTCACACATGCTGCGTAACTTTCAGACTTAGGTCACTCAAGGTTAGGTCATCAGGTTACGTCCAAGTGACCTTACCTTAGGAAAAGTTATAGTGCCCGTCATAGCTACACAGACTGAACAATCGGTTTAAAACGTGCAGCGATTGATAAGAGCAACAGTATATACGTAGAATACTTCTACCTCGGAATTTCAATCAGTGGCGGCGGAACACCTTCAATTAAAGGGGGCACTGCCGACTTTTGGTCCCATTCTTTCCATGCAACGCCCATAGGGCGTTGCATGGAAAGGGCTATGTTAAAATGCCAAAATTAAAGGGGGCACGGTGCCCCGGTGCCCCCTCGTTCCGCCGCCTATGATTTCAATATCACTTGCTTGTTCAATGCTCATTGCTCATCTCGTATTGTAAGAGCACTGCGGCACAGCATAGATGCAGGCGCTTTGCTACTGCCATCTATGGATGAAAGATGAAGAAAATGGTTATTGCGGTGCAGTATTACTGCAGGCGCAAACAACGTAGATAAAAAGATGCCTATGCTGCGCTGGCCGGCGATTGAGGCGTAAATTTGCGTTGCTGGGTAGCAAAAAGTTTAAGAGCCCGAATTTGACAAAATAAATGATTTGCCGTGCTGGTGGTCTGAGGTCGCAAAATCAACAAAACCCTAGGTCAGTGATATTGAAATTTCGAGGTAGAGGTAGGTACTCTACGTATATACTGTTGATATTATCTATTGCTGCACGTTTTAAGCCGATTGTAGTCTGTGTAGCTATGACGGGCATTATAATTTTTCCTAAGGTAAGGCCACTTGACGTAACCTGGTGACCTAACCTTGAGCGACCTAAGTCTGAAAGTTATGCAGCATTTGTGAAAACGATGTATGGAAAGGTGTGCCAAAAACGGCGGCGCTGCACAACGCCGTTTTCGAGATATTTACATAAATCCACATAGGGTGTCCACTGTCCAATCATCCCCACCGCCCGGCGCGGATAATTTTTTTTTTGCACGTGCAGAGCGCACCTTTGGGGGCCACCAGGAGATGGATATGCTCAAAACTATGCTGGAATACATTCTGGGTGGCCTGTGTAAATTTGGCACTTTGAGCTTGCCAGCGCTACCCGCCCTACCCGCATATGTGACACCTGGAGTGCAACATCAAAAGGTTTGCACGTGCACAGCACGTGCACCGTGCACCCCAGCACGCCTATTTGTACAGCATCTTAAAGCGCGTGTCCAGTAGTGTCAGTGTGCCAAATTTGGTGTGCCTAGGTCAAGGTTTTCCGGAATCGGAGGATGCCTCCTCAAAACATGTTTTTCGCCACTAGCGCGTGCATTCCGCACCCCCTGATGCCGAACATACCATATGCTAGTGGTCGAACACTGGGGCATGTGACCTGTGAGTTTGGCACCTGTGCCGCCCTTCGTTTGACTTGAAGCGTCGCTTAAAGGTTTTTGCCCTTTGTAAGTTTGTCGGCACGTGGCACGCGCGATGTGACACCGGGTGACATGTGACATCCATCATCACCTGCCTCAAGGAATTACCCGTCGAACGGTACCACCAGCATCTCGATCCGATCATCCGTTTGGACGCAATTCTAATCGTATTGGCTCGATGACCTTCCAGAGCACGGTTTTTTGGCAACGTAAAATGGCGCCTTGTCGGCTTCACTATCTTCCATAGGAGGTCCATTGGGATTGTCAGTCCAGTTTATTTATACGTCCGTGGGCATACTGCATGTTTCATTGCTTTTTGGCACCATCTGTATGCATTATTTCGTACAAAAAGTATATTTTGAAAAAACGCTAGGAAAAAATACCAAGCAGTCGATCGTCGGACGTCGATCATAAGCAGCTAAACCATGGATGAAGGAGAACCTGGATTGGAAACTAATAAGGGTGCGTTCTTTGCACGGAAATTTCACGTGAAATTTCACGGCTCAGTCAGCTGATGCGTTCTTTGCCGACAGCCCGGGAATTTCACGGCGCAATTGTCACAGAGGCTTCATAAATGTAATACGCCCAGATTTGTGAAACATGCATTGAACTTAGCGTTGCTTGTATTGTCGGTAAGTCACATGATGCATCTTAAGTGATGAGAGGCAGATGGAGTTTTTATAGAAAAGTCTCTGGTGTGCATACAGCTTGTAAGAATACCTACCCGTTAATATTTCCACACCAGTTTGCTGGTTAGTAACAGCGGAAACAATCGCTAAAATTTTTTTGGTAAAAACGGTAACATTTTAGTAACACATTCCGCAAAACCTACGCACACATTCGCATGGGCGGCGCCACCGGGGGGGACGGGGGGGACAGGTCCCCCGCTATCGAAAGTTAGGGGGGTACAGTACCCCCCTATCGGCGAGGCCCGTTCAATAGTTGATAACAATGCATTATAGAGCTATCCGTCGCATTTAATGCATCGTTGGTTAATCAAGGCAGGTTCTGAATAAAGATTGCTGTTGGGATGCATCGCAGGGGGTCCTGGCCATCTGCAAAAGGTGTGGAGCTGTGATGCCTGTAGTTATAAGGTGATCGGCAGGGCCTCGGGGATCGTGCCCCCTTTTTGGGGCGCCAGGCAGGGTTATTACCTACTTATTACCTCCCCACCCCACTGCCAGACCCCATTGCCGATAATACCAAGTTCACTGAAATTCCATAGATTTCCGTTACTATATGAAAATTTTCCATTCCTAATTAGTCAAATTCAAGCATGGCAGTTCT